ATCTGCCATATTTAACTGGATTGCTACATTACACTTTATTTACTGTGCCATTAAAGTACATAAGATTTTAGCAGAAATCAAAATGAAGATATCATAAAAGTGCTTTATAATGTGCAATGAATCTGACATTAATGTAAAAAATGAAGTATTAAGGTATTTTAAACAGTTACAGGCAAAGAAAATACTACATATATGTAAAATCAAGACTTACTAACTGCAAGACCCTTTGTTTTCATACCTTAAATTCTGTGACTGTGAAAATTATTATTTAGTAATAATGTAAGATCAAATGTCCTCAATTTAAGCACTGTATGTAAAACTGCAAGGAAAGATAACTCTGCAATTATCTTAAAGAATTATAAGGTTAAATATTTTATGTACAAAGGTAATTGATGTTAGATAAACTTGATACCTTGTATCTTCTTCGTAGCAGACTCCCAGTCTTTCCCAAGTTCAAGTTGAGAGCAAATAGATGGAAATTGCCTTCTTATGGACTGTATTGCTTTATTCGTAATCACAAAAGCCCAGTGAACACCACTGTGTGTAGAAATGAAGTTTTATTATAATAAAACCTTGTAAATCCACCAAAGAAGCAGAAAGAAAATAATTTCTTCTAATGATAATTATTTGAATGACTGAATTTTCTATAGTATGATGATCCAGCATGTATAAAATACTATCTGAAACAGATGAATATAATTCGTCAAAAGAGGGAAGATTTCCAGGGCTCTCCTGGCTTTTTCTGTATCCTGTTCCTACATGTCCTGTAAAGTATGAAGTCTGTAAAGCTTCCACTTTTGGCACAAGGAATCTGTTATATATCTGTTATAATATCCTTTAGTATAGTCATTGAATCTCCATAATGAAATTAATCTTTATATGTTGAGAAGGTTTATATATAAGATTTTATTTAAAAGCACGCCTTCAATTAGATGAATCATCCGGTTTCATCAGTGTTTTGAAAACTAGCCCTTTCAATTTCTTTGTGCAGTGTATGAACTGTAGCACAAGAAGAATAGCAATCAATGGCAGTAGCTTTTCTGTTCCATTTGGGCCCAAGGAAGCAGAAGAAGGAAGCAGCATTACTATATAAATGATTTCTTGACAACAGAAAAGGTACTTTCTGCAAAGTACTCCATATCACTTAAGAACATCAGTTGCCTTAACACTAGCTAATTGATTCACCATGCAATCACTACTAAGTGAGAGTATTCACATTAGTGGTTTGTCAAACATGCTCCTGGCTTTCACACTTAAACTTGGTAATGCATTGTTGGGAATTCTGCAGTTTGTGTTTGCTTGGGTTCTAATTTACTTTAATTTTAGTACATGAAACAATGAGAAACTTTTAAGATTTTAAGATTTTTACCCTTGGTGAAACATTGCACCCTTTAATAATTAAGAAAGAAGGAACAGTTTTTCCCACCCCTGACACTCTATAGTTTTCTGCTAGCAAAGAGCACTAATTGACAGAATCAAACAGCAAAGCAGGTATAGGCAGAGTGCAGACTGAATGCTGTAGACAGTTGTCAGAGACTGAAACGGTTAATGATTTATGCATTTTAGGAGACTTTTGCAGGCTTTTGACCTCTGATGGGCAGTTGGGCCCATCCCTCCCTCCAGTGCTGAAGGTGTCAAGCCCCGAAAAGGCAGAAAGAGCCGAGTTTATACCTCTGATGGCCCATCAAAGCCCATCCCCCCAATGCCAATCTTGAAAGGCAGGAACCAGGCCAGACACAGAAACTCTGCGCAGGCCCAGGGAGAGTTTGGAGGCTTGAGGCATGGCCTGTGACACTAGCCATGGGTATAATAACTCATAACTTCTTGGAGTGTGGGGGCTTCCCTCCTTCACCCCCAGCAGATCAAGGCCACCACTTCAACTGACAGACATGGAAGCGGCAACTACCAAGTGTCATCGCTGGACCCCGTGGGCGGTGACTTTATACGTTTTTTCCACTCTCATCTTTTCTTTTTCCTTACTCTCCCTTACTCTAATCCTGTCTTTGTCTCCCCTATGCATTTTCTCCCCCCACCAAAGGTTATCTCTATGTCACATTGTTATATGACAACACCCAAAATGCTAGCATACCTGTTGATACAAAATTGTTAAAATAAACCTTACCAATATATGTTTTCAGACACTGATTATTCAGTATCATTTCACTCTAATCCACCCCAAGGGAATTATTGTTAAGAACCTGGGTTACCCCCCTCCCCTTTCTCTGGGACGGGTCGTAACAACAGTGTGTGTATGAATTAAGTAAATATAGAATCACAGAATTATTATAGTTAGAAAAGACATCTGAAATCATCAAGTCCAACCTTTGACCAAATACCACCATTCCCACGAAACCGTATTGTGAAGTACCACATCTACTCATTTTTTGAACATTTCCAAGGGATGGTGACTCAACCACTTCCCTGGGGAGAAATATTATTCATATTATTTGAAATGTGAAAAGCAGATGTGATCTCTGCCTCTCTCCTAGGAGAGACTTTTCTCCCTTTTTTTTTATTTAGAAGCAATGCCTAAAATCTTCGGGAGAAAAAACTCTCCAGGTAAATTAGATAAGATAGAGAACAGCTCTTTTAGTGAAGGCCTTCTGGTGCAAGGAGTATGAAAGGTGTGCGCCCACACGCAGAATTCTTACACTTTTATATCTTTTACTAATTATCATATCTAATGGGGACATCCAATCCTAAGACCCCTTTTGCCTGGGTACCACCCACTGGAGTCCCTCCAAGGGCCTTGAGCCTTTTATCTTGTTTTGTCGACCATATCTCATGTTATTCCGGTCCAGGTGCACATCTCAACAGAATCCAATGGAATGTTCTTGCTAAAAATCTATTGCCTTGAAAAGACAGTTAAAAGACAGTTAAACCAAAGCTTCAGGAATGTGACACACAAACTGTGAGAAAGTAATGGTCTAAAGTGAAGGAAAACTCCAGCTACATTAAAATCTACAAAAAGCTAAAAATCCTAAAAATTCAAAGGCATCAGTAGATATTAATATAACAGATACAAAAATTGAGAATCTCTATTGCTACTCCAACTATTTCACATCCTCCACACATTTCTCCAGGAGATGTGCTTAGCAACCAGGACACTATACTGTGAGAGAAGTTGAGACGAAGCTATATTATTAAAATCAGGCAGTTTTGAAAACTTCAAGTTTAGAGATCCATTTACATTCTAAGTATATCTTATTGAGAGTTCCACTATACACAGAGAGCAATAACACATACGGATAGGAAATATAATACACTGTGCTGCTTTTTAATGACAGAAAATTATTTACTAAGCGAATGCTTTTTCTAGTAAGAAATTCTTCATTAAATGATCAACATCAAATTTCAAGATTTTCCCAACTATGGACTGAGATTCCAAGAGCCATCCTGTGGAATAAACAAAGACATTGATAAGCCAAAGATTCAAGACACTACAAATGTATTTGGCAAGAACAAAATAGACATAGGAGAATTACTTTAAATATTTTTTAAAAAGTTTACATGAAGATAAAATTTGAAATCCACATAATCAGTTTAGGTGAATCAAATATTAAACTTCAAAACTTTGATATTCCAGCAAATGTCTGTGATTGACCTGGAATGTTGTTTGCAGACGGCACCAAATTGAGTGGTGTGGTTAACACACCTGAAGGCTGGGATGCCATCCAGAGGGACTTGGACAAGCTTGAGAAGTGGGCCCATGGGAACCTCATCAGGTTTAACAAGGCCGAATACAAGGTGCTGCATCTGGGTTGGGACAACCCCCAGCATCAATACAGGCTGGGGGATGAAGAGAGCAGCCCTGCAGGAAGGACTTGGGAGTGCTGGTGGATAAGAGGCTGCACATGTGACAGCAATGTGCGGTTGCAGCCCAGAAAGCCAACTGTATCCTGGGCTACATCAAAAGCAGCGTGGCTAGCAGGTCAACAGAGGGGATTCTGCCCCTCTACTCTGCTCTGGTGAAATCCTACCTGGAGAGCTCTGTCTAGCTCTGGAGTCCTCAGCACTGGAAGGATAATCAACCTGTTGTAGTGACTCCAGAGGAGGGCTACCAAGATGATTGGAAGAAAGCACCTCTCCTATGAGGAAAGGCTGAGAGAATTGGGATTACTCTGTATTAATCATCATTTTCATCTCTCCATCCTATTTTCAAATCATCCATTATATTAGTATCTTACACATTATGCCAGCATCGAGGATCTTCAGTTACAGATGAGAAGCCTACTTCTGGCACTAACAAAATATGGCACTAACCAAAACCTGCTGCCCTAAGTAGTCTACACGTGATCCTTTGGTGTCAAAAGAATTTTCCTTTTCAAAGAACCTTGGGGTTCTTTGGCCCAAGTGCAGCCTTAATTTACAAATTACAGATTCTTCCTTACAGAAGGAAGGAAGGAATTTCCTCTCTTTCTGTTGTAAGCAAGCAATGAGAGGTATGAAACTCCAAAAGATAAATTATAGGGAAAATAATATTCAGATGTGACTGTGTTTGTTCTTAGGGAAAATTTACTTCAAATAGACTAAATTACAGAAAAATCTGAGAGGCTGACCTAAAGAAAAAGAAAAAAAAAAGAGTAAAAGTTGCATATTAGAGTTTTGCAATAGTAAGCATGCCATACAAAGAAGCATTCTTTAGGATACAACCAAACTGATTTACTTAATGTAATAAACCCCTTCAGTGATGCCAAACCATTTATGATGTTCACTGAAAAGGAAGAAAATTCTGTGAAATCTGTGAGTAAAGACTGATTTTAAGAGCATTGAAATATTAAGCATGGAGCAACAATATGGAAACATGAGCTCAAGTTTTATGACTGGAATATCAGAATCTAAATATTACATAGTGCCACACATTCCTGGTCGTGGTTCAGTGTATTATGCTGGTTTGATAATAATGATGTGTATAAGATTAAGCCATGACAAGAGGGTAACAGCTGGCTCTCAGGTAAAAAGGAAATAGAGAAACTCACCTATGCCAAAGGTGACTATATTCATTCTTTATCTGAAAAAAATATTTCCAAAACATGTAAAGCAATATGCTTTGCTTGGTATAGAGCTGAATCTGCCATAGAACTTGAGCAATCTAATAAATTTAGATTGTTTCACTGGACAGATGCTCTTCTTCAAATGATGTTTCAAACTCTGGTTGAAATACAGCCATGCAAGTTTTTAGGAGGAGAAGCAAAATCATCAGTGCACTGGACACATACTATTTCATTAGATGTGTATACCCAAGCATCTTGATTTTTCTTATTATGGAATTATAGTAGAATACAGCCATATTTTAAAGTTTTAACAAATATATGTCATTTACTTCTAGTGCCTGAAAAGTGAAACTTCTCTGTCCTTTACATATATCCCAGGTCTCAGATGAAAAACTGAAAAAGGAATTTTGTGGTTTCACTTTCTTATCCAGTTTACTCTTCTGCAAACGGCACTGGATTCTCTTCAAGTTAAAAAAGTAATCACAGATATAACCTTTTACAATCATCACTGCCACCATCAGTTTGTGAGAAGTATTAGAATTAAAAAAATATGTAAAACAGAAGTGCATACTGTTCTTGCTATGAACAGAGATGCTATAAAAAACAAAGGCTTTCAAAAGTGGAACAACAAAACGCCTGAAGAAGTTAAAGTGTTTCCAACAGGGAAGGAAAGGTTCACACAAATAAGAATCTCTTTCTTTCTCCTTTCCTTGGGGGAATTGCTCTATTAATGCAGTCATCAGAAAGAAATCCCTAAACTAATACATTTAAACTAAGCAACTCTGAAAAAAAGGAAGAATAAGAAAGGACATAATTGTCAGAAAGAAAATCTTACCTGTCATTTTATTTACTTTAATCAATTCCAACACTGGATGGACAGAATAGTAATGTGAAGACTCTGCATTTAGCCTCTGCAGCATTTTATCTTATTTAAGAGAGGAAAAAAAAAGGAGCTGAAAATAACGGACTGCCAGGGATTTGACAAAATGTGGAAGAATAATAACCTGGAATCACATATTTTAATGTATCCTCTTGAGTTTTAAATGTATTTCTCGGTCAAAGAGTTCCTGTGAGTGAAAGCACACACTCCTTTCCTACCTAACATTTTATTAATGTTTTCCAGTGGTGGTAATGACATAGCCACAGATGGATTCTGTTTGTGGGTGCTCCAGAGCGTTAGAAGTGCCAGCTGAGTCTTTTTCACCTATTAGTGAAAAAAGATTCAAATACTTTTGAGAAAAATCACTGCAGCAGCAATAACTACAGCAGAATGCAAAATCATCTAAGAAGGCCAGATGCCTTAGAATAAAATACTGACAGATTCTATAAATATTTGTGTGTAAATTCTAAATACAGTCCTACAAATTTAATAGTTTAATAAATTGCTTATTTTTAATTAGTATAGCAATAGCATGCCTCTGTAACAATTTAGTTCCAGTTTCAGCCATGACTTGTTCATTCACGTCCACTGCTGCAAATGCAACATCTGTATCAAACACTGTAGTCACATTTCTAGGAAATACAAACAGTAGCACAATAGTTAGAAAAACCCCATGATTTAACAGAAATGACTGGACAATGTGTTGAAACATTTACTCGTATGAGGCAAAAGATAAAACAAACTCCTCAAGATTCGATGCAACTGAAAAGAAAATTAATTTCTGGAGAATACTCAGCTTAATGAAACTGATTAAATTGTCCACAGCATGAAATTGTTCTTTATTTTTTACTCATCAAAACTAAACTGTTCCTGTTTATTTTGTTTTAGCATATTCAGTATTGCCTCATGAACGGTACAAGTTATGCATCATGTCAGTCATCTTGTTGGGATGCTTCTCTACCCACTTCTGAAGGAGGCAGACCTGAGAAATCTAGATATCTAGAACAAAGCCTTGTTTTGCAGTCTGTTTTCTAGAAGGGGGGAAAAAAAGCATTTAAATATTTAATTAATAACAATACAGTGAATATTATTTATTTGGTGAGGACAGGGAATGACAACAGCAGATTTAATAGAGGTAGTCCTAAAGCTTATTCCCAAAAAGGTTCTAGGAAGTTTACAAGATACACTTTCTATTTAAGTATTACATTCTTCAAAATATCACTTTCCTGAATGCATTTTTAGATAAGACGATAGCAAAACCAGAAAGACTTCAAGCACAACAGAAATTTTCATCTGAGAGAAACAGAGAACCAAGCTGTTTGCAGAATGAATAGTGCACAAAGCTAAAGAGATGAGGCATAAGTATTTCCTAGGATAAATTTTTAGGATGTGTTTTTAAATACATGGCATCTGTTCAGCAGACACTCAGCTTCTGTTTCATAAAGGAGATAATATAATGTCTCTGCAAGCCAAAGGAGAAACATCAGCACAGATACAGCAGATAACTCCAAATATGAGATCTAATGTGCCAACTCAAGACAACTTTCCAAGTCCTGCAGGAGCAAATACACCCTCAGAGATAGTTAGGAGGCTTTTTACCCTACCACAGCATGCCTAAGTTTGTGTTTAGGTTGCTTTATGACAAGAATGATTACAATTATCTTCTAACAAAAGACAAGAAATTAAAACAATCATAAACTTACTGAGTCTAACAATGTAACTCTAGTGTTACTCCATTCCTATAGGCACAGAACTTTTGCTTCAAAATAAGATGTTATTTTATGACTATGTTTTAACAATGTGTCTTCATTTAGTTCTTTGTCCTATTGCCATGGCGACACAGAAGCAGACCAATGAAAGGTGACACAGACATTCTAAAAACTCAGTTCAGTGCTGTAGGTGTTTTTGATCACAACTGTAGAATTTGAAGATTAGTTTCCAACACTTATTACAAAAATATCCTAAGAAAACCCCAAGACAAAAACACAAACTAGATTTAATGGCATCATTAAAGCCTATGTTGCACCTTAGAAATGAAGGTATAATATTCATCAGTGCCTGACAAATAGATAACTCCAGAATTATATAGGGAGACGTAGAACTTTTGCTACCTAAATCATTAATCAAATCTCTTCCAGAAGAAGAGTAAAAAATTACCTTCTAAAAGTTATTTGATATACTGGCAGAGCTGGAGGTGTCAAGCTATTACCTACAAAAGAAGTCAGCATTGCAATATGTCTATAATAGTAAAATAATATTATTTGCTTTTATGAAGCTACTTTGACACTGAAATCCCTGAATACAGATTACTGTGCAGAGACACAAGTGGCAGAAATTAGTAAAGCCATATCTTCAGCATGATTGAGTCTGCTCCAGGTAGAATGCAGTTGAAAGGGGAGGAGACTGTGGAATTATGCCCTGTGATTGGGAAAGACTTGTGGCTTGACAGAACGTGTTCTTAGAGCACATGTACTAAAAAACAAGCTGGGCCTTATTTTAGCCTGCTAGGGTAACTTTTATTAACTTATTTTCAGGTTAGAATAGCAAGTTCTTCTGTATTGATTGATATTTCACTTGTGACAACTAATTTAGGCTGTCTAACCAAAGTCAAAACCAAAAGGGGACAGAATGAGTACACTACCGCAGGAAGTTTCTCTGCAATAGTCACTTGCTTACACATAGGCAGAAACAGACTTAAAAATAAAGCCAAACCCTTCACCGACCAAAGAACTTTAGGCACTTGTTTGACTCTACATCTCTGAGAATAAAAAATATTTCTACTCAGTTTCCAGACTTGCCTTCATTTACAGATTGAATTGCCTTTTTTTTTTTTTCAATTAACTAAACACTAAATAGCATTTTGACTGAAAGACTATTTAACAAATGGATTAATTTTTCAGGGCTGAGTTATGAAAAAGGACAATAAATAGCATACTCCATCTGTGCTACAAAGCCTATTATCCTTGCCTTGAGATAAACACCTTCCCGGAGGGAGAGGATTTCCCAATCTGTCCTGAAGACCAGTTTTTTACAGGATTCAAAAGATTTGCATTTGGTAATGCATAGTCTAAACAAAGAGCTTATGAAAGATTTAGAAGAATTTTTTTTGAAATATACATTTGGGAAGGATGATTGAAACTAATCCTGTATCAATGACCCACATTTATTTATTCAATTCAAAAGACAAAAGTAACACTCAGTTGCTGTTATAAAAACCTGTGTAGTATTGCTGAGCTGTAGGCTGTTTGTCTAAGGGATCATGAGTTCATGATAGCTCTTTAAGCTCTTACAAGGTCTTTGTTTAGAACCTTGCATTTTAATTAAAGACCATCTGATGATTTATGCAAAAGTACTTTCTTTTCTTCTCTTGAAACACACTGTGACAGAAGGAGTTGCAACTGCTGTTGCTAATTATGCCTATAGTAAATATGTTAAACAGATGCTACACAGATGCCAGATGGTAATCACTAATCTGGTAACATTCACAAACAAACTACAAATTATTTTTTATTATATCATCTTCATACAAGTACTCAAAAAAGGGTTCTGATAAGTATTTAGGATACTCGAGGAGCAAGTCAATATACAAACAGAAAAATCTCTTACTTTCATGCTGTAAATGACATTTTGACTGTCTCATTGCTCTCTTGCTCCATTTACACCCCAATTGCAGGCTGAAATGGTTTTATTTGATCTCCAGCAAGGCAAAACTTCTGGATATCCTTTGCAAAAAGAAAGAGGTATCTCTGGCAGAATCTATGGAATATACATTATAATTGCAGTAAAATAAGGAAATCTGAGTTTGCTCTATAGTTACAAGAATCATGTATTTGTCAGAGCCCTGCCTGCCTCTCACTTCTCCAGAGGTGCTTGGACTCAGTGCCTGCAGGTATTAAGAAGCCAGGCTGTAGGTATACACTCTCATGGAAAAGTGGAAAATCAATTTCCAAGGCAAATGGTAAAGGTAAAAAAAAAAAAAAAAGGCAGCATTGTAAATTCATACACACAGAATACAGAAAATTAAGAAAGAATAATTTTATTATTTTATCTTCCACTACATAAATAAGATAACGAGAGTAATCTCCAGAAGTCACTGAAACAGACTGGGAAATGGGCTACTTTTTGATTTTGGTGTTGTTTTTTTTTTTTTTTAATTTACAGAAATATTAACATAGATGTATCAAAATACATCTTTAATTTTTATTTTATTTTACCTGTCCCTACTTTGGACTCAGTTTTTTTCTCATTGCCTTCAATAACAGTAAGGTTGGAATTGCTGTTTTAATTTTTCTTTGTGGCATTTTTACTTTCTGAAGATGACAAGCCTTCCACATATGCAACCAAAACATTATTTACTCAGCATATCTGTTTTCTCTAACTTATGAATAGGTAATAAAAACATTACCATCTCCCCAAGGTGGATTAGAGGTAAGTGCTCTAATATAATATTTAAGAGCTTGCCACAATTGTTAGCTATGGGAAGGAGTAAATAAATGCCACTTTTGAGTGGCAGAAGTAACAAGGTATTATGCCTCCACTGTTAAGTTAGATAATGTTAGATAACTCCCAGTCACTGGCACGTGAATGCTCATAGTGTTAAAGTATCAGCATGTTCCTCGTCATACTTCAAACTTCTGCCAATTCATATCCTCCCAGTTTCTGGGTATGGTTTGGGAGACAGAACATCATGATGACCATTCCCATTAGGCAGGTTGGATATAAACACTCAGGCCTGAGGATGAAGGGGGTTCACTTGTTTAGGTGTGGGCCAAGCCACAGTCTCTACCAGCATTCCTAGATATGTAACGTGCCAGTATTGATGCAACCCACTGATTGCTGTGTATATCGTGCAAACAGGCTTGTTGACCTACCCATGCTGCATTTTCAATGTATATTCAAAATAAAAATCCATATTTAAATTAAAAAAAACCTGCAATATCGCAGGCTTCTGACTCTACAAACATCTTTTCCTCACTCTGTAATCAAATGCTTGCATTAACAATAACATAACCAAAATCCAAATCAGTGATGCATTTTCTTATTCAGAATTTCCCCTCTCTGATAATGAGAGAAGAAAAACAGCATGGCAATTTTAGCCAGGGAAAAAACCTCCTGGGTTTTTTTGTGGAGGAAGAATATAGCTCTTCATTTTTTATATGACATTTCAGTGCTGCAGAGTCACATGCATTAAAAATGTAAATGGAATATGTAGATGTAATCTCTACAGTTCTTATTTCTCTACATGAAGACAAGATTAACACTCTACAACACCTGCACCACTCAGTATTTTCCTACTGAGATCTCAGAAATAAATCTGGTCTTCACCTTGTGATTAAGCACAAAATGAACTACTACACTCTTTTTTTTCGTGGATGCTTTCAGCCTGCTCTTCTCCTGAATGTGTAAGAATTTCACTTTAATAATGAACACACAGTTTTCAAGGATTGCCACTGCCCTCTTGTTAAAAGAGAAAAGGTATTTTTTTTGGCTGCAAAAATTTTTGTTCCCACTATCTACCTGACTAGTCTCTCGTATTCTTTGCAAATCTAGGAAGTTCCAAAACAAATTCCATTTTATCAGCATGCTAATCAAATCCACACAGAACATCTCTTAATCAGATCTATTAATTTTAATTATGTGGAAAATTTAGTGTGACCTACATTTTCAGTAAAATTATGGCTTGAACTAAGTGCAAACTTTTGTCTTGATCTTTTGCTGCTAATACCTGCTGTTAGTAATGTGGAATTACCTTAATTCTGACTGGAACAACCTCTCCTTCAGTCCCCCTTTCACACCGAACCATTATAAAATAATTCTCCTTTTCAAGAACGTAAACTGCTTTTCCTGTTTCCACTCACTGACTGCAAATACTAAAAAAAGAAACTGTTGCAGCACAACATTTAAAAACAATGGAAAAGTAATCCAGACTAAACCAATGCAGCAAACACACCCTACACCCTCAACAACAACAAAACCCCCAAAACTGAGAGGCCAGTATTAATTCAGATCTGTTTTCAGATAGAATTCACCCTCTAATCTACAGCAAAAATTTACACAAAGAAGTACTGTAGCAGTGGAAGTGATGTGGAGGCGGGAGGGGGAGATGAAAGCAGGTGGAATGCTGCTCTTCTCAGCAGAGTCAATCTAAATTGTCTGTAAAACAACTTGAATGAAAATCATCTTCATGTCATTTGTGACAAACTATGTTAAGATATGAGAAGCTGGGAAAGTTTCATTTAAACATGAGTAGAATTTGTGACAAGAAAATGACAGCATCTGGTTTAAGTGATTAAAATATATTATCAATATATTTGTTTTCCTGGACGCTTAGGATTGTAAAGTTATTTTAAAAGCTGGTTAGAATGATAATCATTGGGTAAATGAACACACTGCATAGAGCACTGACTTCTTAATATAGAATATGAGCTCCTCACCGTGTCATGGGGCTTTCTTGGGTTTCGGAGTCCGGCAGCTGTAAATGAGTGTTAAATCCAAGCTAGCGGGTCTTGTGACTGGGTGGGTTCAGACAGAACAAAGCCAAAACCAATTAAACTTATTTGAAGCACAGTACCCAGCTTAGTTTTCTCTGAAAGGCAAACTTCAAAACCACTTTGAGAACTTAACATAAGGCAGCTCTTGATTTGGCTTAAAATTGCATCACTCCTCCAACCCAAACTGCTAATGCAGACGCACTGCTAGTAACTAGTGTGAAGAGAATATATGCTTGTAAATCAAAACATTCAGGTCATAAATTCTTTTTACTAATGAAAGTTTGGATCCCAGTACACCATGTCCATATCTCATCCAGAGGGTTTGTATCAGTGTCACTGGTAAAGACTTTTACTCTGTTTATATATCTGAAAAACCTACTTGATGATGTAAATTTTCCACAGTGACTTAAGGCCTAGTAATTTTATTTGTGAGATAACTGGACAGAGCTGACCCTCTAGAATACTTGACCTCTCCAAATTCATCCTGGACTCACAGGATGAGGCAGAACAAATCAGAAACTGCTTGTTCAAAGCTAATGTGAAAGGAAAGCACTTCTTGTGTTAGGCAAAAACATCTGATATGAAACTGCCCTCTCTCTTGGGGAGGCCTTTTGGAGCAAAAATGACCTTTCTCTAGCTTAATGAGAGTTCCACATAGACTGCAAATTCTGATTAAGCTTCTGTCCTCCTACTTCTATTAATAAACAACATCTATGTTAAAGAGTGCAAAAAAAAAAAAGGAAAGCAGATGCTGTTTGAAGCACTTGCATTCATTTACTAATTCCCATTTTTCTGCTGTATGTATGTACAAATGAGGAAACATTTATGAGAACGGTTTCTTTACTAGTTTCTTACTACTAAACCCAAAGAACTTAATTACCCAATAGGTCCTTCTGGCTTTAAAATTAGTATTGGTCAAATAGCATCAAAGTCTTTACAAGTCAACAAAACCTTTGCATCAACCCTGCAGAAAGATTCCCCTGTAGTGAGGACATGGAATAAACCAAGAGACAGTAACAATGCAGAAGAAACGTTTAAATGGCACTGACATCAGCATTTCAAAATCTAAGATAAGATTATGGTTTGATTAATTTATCAAGGACCCAAGCTGAGAGGAGATTATTAGGATAAGGTTTCAGAAAAAAACCCCCTCCAACAAAACACAGTAGCCTAAAGTAATTTTAGGGTGAGATTTAGAGCATGTTACCTATACTTCATTTAAGGAATTTGTTTATTTTCTTACCTATTTGATTTTCAATGTATGCACTGTTTCTTCAGTGCAGTAAAAAAGGAATCAGATGGCCAGCTACTGTGGAATAACATAAGTTACTAGCTAAAAAATAAGAAATAGTTGGTCAAGGAGAGAGAGCAACATAATCCATTTGAATTTGGGGTTTCAGTAAACCTGGAAAATCAACACTATCAGACACAGTTTTATCTATGCCTGTATACACTATATACCTGATAGAACTGGCAACTCTATAATGGTAATAATATGTGCATTTAGGTCAGGTAGATAGTACATCAAAGGGCATTTGTTTTGGTTTGGGTTCTTTCTTTTTCATTAGTAGCACTTTTAGCATAAAGTACTCTCTGCTAACACAAAAGAAACCAGGACAATGCAGTCATCAGTCACAGCCAGCATGGGTTCCATAGGGGAAAGTCCTGCTTGACAAACTTCATTTCTTTTTACAACAAGGTAACCCACCTAGTTGATCAAAGGAAGCCAGTTGATGCACTCTTTTTGGATTTCAGTAAAGCTTTTGAAACTGTCTCTCACGGTGCCCTCCAGTTGAGGGAGGGGGTTGTCCAGCTCTGCTCTGCACTGGTGCGGCCTCGCCTTGAATATTGTGTGCAGTTTTGGGCGCTGCAACGTAAGAAAGATATTAAGCTATTAGACAGCATCCAAAGGAGAGCCACGAGGATGGGGAAAGGTCTGGAGGTGAAGCCACAAGGAGCTGCTGGGTTAATTGGCTTGTTCAGCCCTGAGGAGACTGAGGTGGGACCTCACAGAGTCTACAACTTCCTCATGAGGGGAAGAGGAGGGGCAGGCATTGATCTCTTCTCTGTGGTGATCAGGGACAGGACCCAAGGGAATGGCCTAAAGCTGTGTTGGAGGAGGTTTAGGTTGGACACCTGGGAAATGTTCTTGACCCAGAGGGTGGCTGGGCACTGGAACAGGCTCCCCAGGAAAGTGGTCACAGCACCAAGCCTGACAGAGTTCAAGAAGTGTTTGGGTGATACTCTCAGATACATGGTGTGATTCTTGGCATTGTCCTGTGCAGCTGGACTTTGAGGATCCTTGTGGGTCCCTTCCAACTCAGAATACTCTGTGATTCTATGAACTGTGAAATACCTGACAGAGAGCAGGAATCTGAGTTAAAATCTGTTCAAAGCCTGTCCCCAGAAGCTTTTCTCTCCCTTCGGTGAGGGATTCTCCCTATTCTCTTTTAGTGTTGATTAATGCCATTACTAGATAGTAGCCTCTCTTCTGTTTCCCTAGAGAACACTTCTTAAGAGAATATCCTAGAGAAACTTCTTAAGGAATTTTGGCAGTGTTTCGTTGACAGTGTTTTTGAGTGGCAAAATTTCCAAAATTTCCAAAATCAGAATAAAAACCTACTGTATTTAATCTATGTATTTAGAATTGATTAACTGCTAATAAACACTTTTATAATTGGAATACTGTGTTGTTGCAGCATCAAATAAGGAAGTTACGCAAATTGGAACTGCTGAAGATTATCACTGGTTTAATTCTTACAATTTTAATTTATGTAGGTGGAGATCCATGAGGTCCAAGTAGCCTCAAAAGGATTTCACACAAGCACACAAGCTTGTACTTCATGATCAAACCACAAACTCAACACCACTGTTAGCAATGGATTATATTTTTAGCACAGAGAGGGAGCCAAAAATAAATTTTTATCATCCAACAATAGACTATGAAAAATCTGTAGTCCTGAAAGGTAAATTGAAAAAAAAACCCAAAAACCAAACCACCCCTCTACTGTATTTTCCTACTAGAGATGTCAAAGGGACTGAATGTGATGCTGTGCTTTAGAAAGCCAGGAGTACAAATCCTTCTACAGTCTAGCACAGTAGCTTATCACTCAATGCAGAACCCAGTCTGAGTACAATCATGTAGACAGTATATTCCATAACTTGCCAAGCAAAAGTCCAGGAAAAATGATAGGAGGTATGGCAGAAAGAGCCCTATGGGCTGTTGAAAGAAACAGCAGAAATTAAAACTCGTAGTACGCACCTGAAAGGGCTGCTCTGGGCTTGTACAACCCAGAGCTCGGTTTTGTACCTGCCCACAACAGCTGCGGAACCAGGACACAGCCCCACGATTTTGGAGCGTGATGCTCTAATCCTGTCTGGAGTTTAGAGGAAAACATTAATTTCGCTCAGTAAAAGCATACCTAAAGCACAAAACGTTGGGGAGCCGGGGGTTGCTTTTTGCCCACTTATCTTTGCGTTCCTGCCGCTATTTCAAGTTTAAAATGTGTGAGTAGCCGCAGGAACAGCACGCTGGAAGTCTCACTCCGGCAGCTTCACCCCAGCAGCAGAGCGGCGCTGACCCAAGATACATTCCGCTCCGCCCCCCAAAGGGCTGTCATCGGGGAGGACCCGAGAGTCACCTGGACCCGCGGAACGCCTTCGGGAGCCAGGAGCAGTCCCAGCTCCGGAGCGAATCCCGCCGCCACTTCCCGCCCCGACACTCCCGGACAGGAGCCGGGCAGAGCTTTCGCTGTTGATGCCTATTAACGGCCTCTTCTCCGCGGGGCTCTCGGGAACTGTAGTCCCAAACCCCTGCCTTCCCGGCCCGGCCCCCGGGCGGATCCACGGCCTTCGAACTACAGCTCCCAGCGTGCCGCGCGCCGGGGCGGTGCCCGCCTGTGGCGCCGGGAGGCTGTGCGATGGCGGCAGGTTTGTAATCGAAGGAGAGGGCTGGCGGCCGGGACGGCTCGGCTGCGGGACCACCGTGAGGAGCGGCACCGGGGCTGGGGCTGGGGCTGGGGCTGGGGCTGCCGCCGGGGCTGCCGCCGCCGCCCCGCTACCTGCGAGGGGCCGCGGGTCGGAGCTGTCGCGGTGCGGGTGCTTCGCGGCCGGGGGAGCAGCGGGCGCTGTGGGAGCACTTAGGGCGTCCTGTGTGAGGGCGGTATCCGTGTCCGTGAGGGAAGGAGGGCACCGGGCCCGACCACTCGGCTCGGCTGAGGAACGTGGCTATGCTCGTCTCCCCACTGTCGACCTTTGCGGGGATTCCTTTGTCCCTCCTCTCCTTCCCGGTACGGGTCGGCCTGATCCCTGCCAGCCCCTGCGGTTGGCACCTCTGGAAGATGCTGCTGCCGTGAACTTCCTGGGAAGGTTCAGACTGGCAGGCGGCCCCCAGAGGGTGTCCGAAAGGTGACGGGTAAAACAGACCGTGGACCTTGAGGGCTTGAATTTGCCTCTGCAGGAATCTGCACCTCACTGGGAAACTTCCCGTAGCGTCACAAAACAGAAGGCAGTCGGAAAACATCTCAATAAGGGAATTGCGCTGTTTCTCCCAGTCGTGCTTTCAAACTCTGCTTGGAAGCATAAGCCTTTTTACAGTAGGAAACTTAAGTGAGAGCTGACATGAACTGGTCCCTTGGGAACAAGGAAGCTTTATGAAGTTATTTCATGATCACCAGGACTGTTGAGCCTGGGCTGCTGTGGTTGCCTGTCCTTTGTCCCCTGCCCCTTCTTTCCTCTGTGTTTCCCCTGACACACCATATGCACAAGCAGAGGGTTACTTGCCCTGCGGCTAGTTTGAGATAGCAGGGCTGAGTGGCCCGGCTCCCCACACTGTCAGGCTCCCCACACTGTCATCGGCAGCAGTTCTGTCTCTTTTTCTTCCTAAACGAGGAAGTCACTTTTAGTTTCCTCCCTACCTGAATTCATTCATGGTTTATGGTACTTTTAGGATATGTTGCAGTCTTCAAACTTTCTTTTGGATGGATTACAAAAAAAAAAAAAAAAAGAAAGTTTTTGGGATAAAGAAGCTAACAGGCAGCACGGTTGTAGAGTTTCCATGAGAAACAAAGGAATACAAAAAAATGATAGAGTTGAATTGAAATATAGGTAGTAAAATGTTTGTATTTAGACGGGCATATTTGAAACTTTGCATTAATATGAGTGTCCTGTGGGGGAAATCTTTCAACTCATCACCTGTCTTCTTTTGTTGCAAGTGTTTAAAGGAAATTCTGAATCCTTCTCTATATTACTGAAGAGAATATTATACTCAGCATTGTAGTATTTGAAGTGATATCAACTGCACTCAAATAAGATGATTAAGAGTTGGATTATGTTTATATTCTGCACAGAAAGTGTTTGTTACTTCTTGTCTAAATGCTTTCTATTGATTGTGATGTATTTTTATAAATACACCAGATTGGTTAAAAGAGGGTAGCTTACTGGGAATCTGTTATTGTAGATTTCTTATTTTGTTTATCTGCTTAATTTTTAGGTGCTAAAAGTAGATAACTGTCCATACCACGTACCTGGAACTTTGAAATTTATATTGTCCTAACCCTACATAACGTGACATTGTTATGTTAATGCTAATCAGCAAAGAAATTGGAGTACCATTTACAAGATGCCAACTGTTGAAAATCCGAGTGGTGAACAGAACTTCATTGCACATTGGATGTTCAATAGTTCCCGTGCTGGAGTCTTGTTGGATCCCAGTTTTACAGGTTTGAACTTCAAGAAAGAAAATTTGTTACCTGGACCTGAAAATATCACAGCTTTACCTGCCGAAGTGTTGCATCTTTCAGACGCCTGTTCTGTAAGTGATGACTCCCTGTGTGAAGAGTCTGGCAGCTCTCATACACTTCAGCAATACAGCACTGGAACATCTTTTCCAGCAGCAGCATGTAATGTGGAAAGCTCTAAACCAGACTTTGTCTGTGGTGAAGTGGACGGTCAGAAAAAATCTGGTTACAGTGACCCACTCTTAAAAAGGCTTGAACAGGTAAAAGTCCTAGAATTCCTTGACTTACACCCATTAAGATTTAGTTTTTTCCTGCAGTTGATTTGTCATGTCTGGAAGTAAGCAAACTCCTTGCAATGTATAGACCACAGCAAGCTTAAAGAGCAAGTCCTAAGTTACGGTTACGTGCACATAAAAGTTGTTGTCCTCCTCCTGATGTGCAGTTACAGAGAGTCTAACTGCCATTGTTTCCAGGTGGCAAAGGTTCCAGTTTAAAGCTAAATTTTCTCAAAATCATTTTAACTTTAAAGGTGCACACAGTTTTACAATGTACCATTGTTTCTTCACTTGAAGCTGTGGAAATGGGGTGCTGGTCATTACAGTGGTAGTATTTCACCACAAGTATTCACAACGTAGTGAAGTTATATGTTCTTGTATCTATAGCAACATCTTTTGTTAGTTCTCAAAGTAGATGTGAACACTGATATACCTGGTTCCGTTTAGATGAAGAGAGTTGTTAGTGTTGAATGTGCTAAAGTATCCAAGACATCAGGACAAAAAGATCTGGAATGATGTTACTTACCTTTTTTTTCTAATGCAAGAATGTCAGGTAATCCACTGTAAGTGTCTGTATGTGTGCTTATAGCTCTTCCCAATTACTAGATACAAATTGTGTTAGCTGAAAGTGTTCAGCAGCACTTTAATAGATCTTACTGTTAAGGATTAAGAACTCTTACCTCCTTGTCCACTCGGCCAGCAGCTACATCAGCACTAATCTCTGTGTCTGTTCACTCCACTGGAGAGAGAGAGAGAGCACGCGTGTCTCTAGAGTAGAATTCCACAACTTTCCTGATGCTATAAAAGTTTTGTCCTGTATTTTACATGATAGGAAAATATTTATTCACTTTTTAAATATTGTCAGCAGTATCAGTCAGTGGCTAAATGACAAATATTAGCTGGTTAATTGGTATCTTAAGTTATTGACAGTCTCTAACAAAAAAATAATCTGATGCTTGTCACAGCATGAGATTTTTTTCAGTTTGGTTTTCTGAGGATATTATTATCAGAACAGGTATGATTAATTTAGTAAGTGAAGGGGTTGGAGGTGAGACTCGGGTGATCTTTGGATCTTGATCACTAGCTCACAACTTCTACTTGCATAGTGCCTTCTGTTTATACTGGGACTACAAGGGAAATTCAAGGGAGTTTTTTTTCTTACCTGTTGAATGACAGTTGTGGTCCAGTTGTTGATCTGTGGAAGGAATTCATCAGACCTTTCCTTTGGAGGAGCTGGAACTAGCACATATGTATGCATGAGAGATACAAAGATAGACACAGAGGCTCACCACCCATTGCTGTGGTTTGGTAGCTTACAGAACGCCCTGCCTTCATATGACCCTCAAAGTTGGTATTGAGGCAGGGCCAGGGACTCCTGCTGCACAAGAAAATGAAGATTGGATTACTGAATTTAATCAGCATTTTAATTCTTTTTTTTTTTTTCAAGTAGCTTCATGAGTCTTAATGTTGCTCAGTGCTCTTTCCCCTCTCTTGTTCCTTTGCATCAGTATTGTTCACTGTAACTGAGACCTTAGAGAGAGGAAAGAAAAAAAATCCACTTTTTCTAAAGCTTTAATTATTATGAAGTATTTAATACTTTAATAAAAACACAGCATAGTAGAAGTTGACATTGAAAGAGCAGGATTGAAATGTTTTTCCCATGCAGTAGAAATGAATGTTCTGATTTCTATTTTTTGCAGATTGGTCAATTAAAGACTAGTGGAACTGTTAATCGTGCAAAGTGGAAATAGCATGTGTATTCTTAGATAGAAAAATTCTTAATTTTCTCTATATTACACTGGCCTAATGGAGCATCTTTAAAACAATAAATACCTGCTGTCTTGGTGCTGCTAATCCTGTGGCACATTCTAAATAAACCTAGCCCCTAATACATTTATTTTTTTGTTTGAAAAGCTGAAGGAATTGCAACGACAGAAACAGGAACAGCTAAAGAAACAACAGATGGAGCAACTTCAATGGCTAATGGAAGAGCAGCAGAAGCTACTTAGCATGGTGTCTGGCCAGACAGCAGCTCATGGTAAGTTGAGAAAAAAAGCACATGACGTACTTCGAATAAACTGAAAAATTTAATCTCATTTTCCAGTTAAAATCTTAAAGTGTATTCTGTGTTCTTCATCTTAAGATTTGATTAGTCTTCATCTTTGACTTGATTAGTCAAAGATAAATGTTGCATTGCTTCAGTGCCTGAAAAATTGAGTGCTGCTGTCGAAGGAATACCGTCTTGTTTTTATAAAATGCCAACTGTAATTGTAACTTGATCAATATGCACTGTGATGTGAGCCCTTGTTTTGAAGTACACGTATTAATTATAAAGTGTAAAACAAAGTTACTTTCCTTTCTGATT